GGACATGTATTTCCTTCCGTTCGTGCCGAGTTATCCGACACACGTGTTGTATGTGTGTGTGTGTAGAGCGATCTGTTATCCTGTTGTTAGTGTGTGCTAATTTAGCAATAGGGAGAAGGTTGAAGTGTTTGTGCGGCGTGGGCTTCCTAACCTAGGTGGAATATAGAATACGAAGCAGCAGCACTGGCAACAGCAGGGAGAGTGGAGGAATGTTTGTTGTGGAAAAGGTTCACTTCGTATTAGGGACTGTGCTATAAACAGTGACGTATTGGCCAGTGGAAGAATCACAGTGAAGGAGCTTGTTTGCTCCTGTTTTTTAAAATCTTATATTGTGTACTATTGGTGTATCGGGAGCAGGACGGAATGGTTCAGTATACTAGACAGTGTGCCCACGGTGTATCGGATATTGGCTAGGGTCTAGTGTTCACTTGCGATAACCGATGATTAGAGCGTTGTTTTTGGTAGTCCCAAACCATGTGAGGCCGAGTGTCGTGCTGATTCGACCTGGAGCAGGGTTACCTATCAACGGTGTTGTGTTTCGATTGTTCGTGTGGAAACGCTCAGCACCGTTTGAAAAGCACGCTATTGACGGCTACTGAGGGCTTTCGAAAACTGTTAACTAATCCTTACTGCATCGGTTGTGGCACAGGATGATCATGACTGCGGTGCGAGTTTGGCCACTGCTGAGATACGCCAGTGTTAGTTTCTATTTCTTCCGTACTCCACCTTCTCGTTCACTCCTTCTTTCGAGCACTAACATACCGCCAAACAACTTGTTCGGCACTCCTCAAGTCCGTTACCTGGTTGCGCTGTTTAGTTTACCACGGCATGGATTGCAGCTTCTGAAGCTTCGTAAATCACTTATTCTGGGTTTGTTGCCAAGCTTGTTAGGCGCTTACAATGATCTGTTTGAGAATTGATATTTGCTTCGTATCGCGTATACTGCGCCACTGTACGATCAGTTCTGCTTATCGGTTGGGACCTTGAATTTGCGGGTAGAGGACATGTGTCGCGTCGTGGTTTTGTATGATCGATGCTCACGTGGTCTGGCCTACTTGGTATGTAGTGAGCAAGCAGGTTAGTAGCCTAGAAGTAGGTGGTCGGGTGTTTGAGGATGCATGAAACACGAACTCGCTATGGCATGGAATTCAGCTGAATAGTCTCCGTTGTTTAGGACACGTTTTGCGTATGCCTAATGGTCGCCTACCACACAGCGCCTTATTTGCATTGTCCGTTTCAGAGTGGAGCAAAGCACGCGGGGTCCGGCAGATGATGTGGATACGAGGCATGAAGAAATGCGCAGCGATTAGGTGAAGTAGGTGTCTGTCGTCTTCCGGATTGGGGTCCAAAAGATTCTGTAACTGGATGGTTGGAGACACTGAAGGTCATGACAGCAAATCAGCAGCGGTGTCTATCTTGCTGTCACTTTTTATCAGTCCAGCATGCTTGAACTACTGTTGGATTACTACTACTACAACTACAGTTGGACTGTGTACTCTGTGTGTTCGGCAGTCGGCGAAGTTTGTTCACCGTTTGGCGCTGTACGATGTTGTTGTTGTTGTTGTTGTTGATGATGATGATGATGATGATGATAATGATGATGATGGGGAGGAGGTGGAGGAGGATGAGGCTCTTGTTATTTCCAGATTGGAGTGTGATGTTGCGCACTGCATAGCCTGTGATCCATAGGTTTCGACGATCTCTGACTAA